GATAATATTGATCCTGATAAGGTGAAGGCGATAAACGAACTGCAGCCTCCAAGAAATCTTAAAGAACTCAGAGGATTGCAAGGTCGATTGGCATATATCCGTCGGTTTATATCGAACTTGTCCGGAAAATATCAACCGTTTTCCAAACTCGCAAAGAAAGGCGTGTCGTTCATTTGGGATGAAGCATGTCAGAAGGCATTCGAAGATATTAAGAAATATCTGGCGAATCCACCTATTCTCGTTGCACCGAAATCAGGCAAACCGTTTTTGATTTATGTCAAAGCGACGAGCCATTCGTTAAGTGCGTTACTTGCACAAGACGACGATAACGGTCACGAGCAAGCTATCTAAGTCGTACACTAGTAGGAGCTGAATCTCGCTATCCAATGATCGAGAAAGAATGTCTCGCCTTGGTATTCGCAATCCAGAAAATGCGACATTATTTAGTTGGACAGACGATCTACGTCATTTCCAACATAAATCCCGTCCGAGTATTCATGACCCAACCGGCTTTCATGAATTGGCGGTTGGCCAGATGGGCCTTACTCCTATCGCAATATGACTTGTACTTCAAGCAGCAGAAATCTGTTAAAGAACGAGCTATTTGTGATCTTCTGACAGAAAACCCTACGAAGGATGTAGTCAAATTGTACGACGACCTGCCAGATGAAACTCACGAAGTTAATACCACCTCACATCAACAGGTGTGGCAATTGTACTTCGATGGGGCTTCCCGATCAACTAACGTGGCAAGTGCACCCGGATGTTCTAAAATCTCCTCAGGAGTAGGGGTCGTTTTAGTTTCCCTGGAAAAGCACGTCTTGCCTAGAGCATATTCACTGACTGAACCATGCTCTAATAATGTAGCCGAGTACAATGCGTTAATAATCGGACTTAATTTCGCCAAAGAGCTGGGGGTCGAATACCTTGAGGCTTTTGGAGATTCTCAACTGGTGGTTAATCAAATACGAGGAGAGTATGAAGTCAGAAATCGAGACCTGATTCCATACCACCAGGTGGCCATCGAAATGGCAAGCTCGTTTGAAGAATTTTTCATCGAGTACGTTCCGCGTCTCCAAAATGCATACGCGGATGCATTGGCAGCATTGTCAGTATCCTTGGCTCAACCTCCCAAAACAGAGCAATTAATTACAGTGAGGACTCATCAGCTTATTGTTCCAATCTACGATTCGAATGCTAAAGAGGTATACTCAACTGGAGTTGAACCCGAAGTTCGAGATTGGCGTTTTCCTATTATTGACTACGTCTTACATGGTATATTACCTGAAGATGTAAGAGAAAGGGAATCGATTCGGCGAAGAGCGCCGAGATTTTATTACAATGCCACATCGCAAACGTTGTATCGACGAGCTTATGATGGTCTTTTACTTCGTTGTCTATCCAGTAAAGAAGCGGAACAAGCACTCAAAGAGGCACATAATGGGATATGCGGTGCACATCAGCCCGGTCCTAAACTCTGCGACCGACTTAGGAGAATCGGATATTATTGGCCAACTATGGTGAAAGACGCAGTCGATTACGCACGACAATGTGTAGTGTGTCAATTGCATGCAAATTATATGCACATACCCCCTGAATATCTGCATCCTTCGGCGACATCGTGGCCGTTTGAAACTTGGGGAATGGATATAGTAGGTCCTATTTTTCCACCTTCGGTTAAAGGGGACCGTTTCATTCTGGCAATCACCGATTATTTCTCGAAATGGGCAGAAGCAGTTCCACTTAGAGAAGTAAAGACGACCAATGTCATCAAATTTATCAAACACCATATCATATATCGGTACGGTGTGCCAAGGCGAATAGTGCACGACAACGGTCCTCAGTTCGTGAGCAACGCATTCATCAAGTTCTGCGGTAAATTCGGGATTAAAGACGTTTCGTCGACTGCTTATAATCCTACAGCTAACGGATTGGCCGAAGCTTTTAACAAGACTATCATCAAAATCCTGGCAAAATTGGTGAAAACCAATAAGCGAGATTGGGATGACAAACTCGGCGAAGCTCTCTGGGCTTATCGTACGACCGTCCGCACGCCTACCGGAGCCACCCCGTATGCTTTAACGTATGGGTGTGAAGCCGTTCTTCCATTGGAAATACAGATTCCTTCTCTCCGTATCGCTCTCGTAACGGGAATGACGACGGAAGAACATCATCAGAAACGTCTCGAGGAATTAGAGATGTTGGATGAAAAACGCTTGGAAGCTCAACAACAAATCGAGTTTTATCAAGCTAGAATTTCTCGGGCTTTCGATAAAAAGGTCCGACGACGAAGCTTTAAAGAAGGAGATCTAGTCCTTGTTGTTCGAAGACCTATGATTCTCACTTCCAAGAAGAAAGGCAAATTTGAACCTAAATAGGAAGGACCGTTCGTGATAGAAACAGTCTACTCAAACGGTGCATATCGCCTGATTACTCAGGATAGCAACAAATTGATGATGCCAATAAATGGGAAGTTCCTGAAAAAGTATTACCCGTAATACGTTCAGGATAACCTATGTAAAACGGGAAATTCCTAAAAAATCCTATATAGGATATTTCAGGATAACCCGATGTCAGTTGATTATTCTAAATGAAAACTGATTATGTGAATAGTCTGTTCTTAATTGTTATAAAAATAATTAAGAACCTCTTACTACCTTTGTTGAGATGAGATTTAATGACAATTAATCTTTCCTCACAAAACCTTGTAATGTGATCATGGAAGATGAGATTCGACAATTCATAACCTCACGCCATGAAACCCGCGCCGGTCGGATTGATCAATGGTTATCAGTCTATATCGGTCGATAGATTACTTCATGTTTGAAATCAAAGTTTCCCACCGAGTAGTTTGTGCAAATCAACGAATTCATTGTTATTTGTACCCTACTCCAATTCCTCAATTGGTCAAACCTTTAAACAGTTAGGACCAAAGCCAAAATCCCCTCTCGATTCGTTCCATGAACGAGAGGTCCACAAATTGAGTGATCAAACCTTCATACAGTTAGGATCATATCAAAACCCCCAATTAGTCAAACCTTACTACAGTTAGGACCACAGACAAAATCTCCTTTCGATTCATTTTTTGCGAACGAAAGGTTCACCTTTGAATTGAGTAATCAAACCTTATGACAGTTAGGGTTATTCAAACCAATCCAGATTCTCTAAATGGAGATTCCACTTTAAGTTTCTTTATTCCAGGAGATAGAATATAAAATTCTTCCTCTCCAATTCTGGGTTTATCTCTACCAACAAACAAGAGACCAGGAGATAGAATATAAAATTCTTCCTCTCCGATTTTGGGTTTATCTCTACCAACAAACAAGAGAACAGGAGATAGAATATAAAATTCTTCCTCTCCAATTTCGGGTTTATCTCTACCAACAAACAAGAGACTAGGAGATAGAATATAAAATTCTTCATCTCCGATTCCGGGTTTATCTCTACCAACAAACAAGAGATTGAGAAACGGAATATGCAATTCTTTTTCTCTTACCAGGAGATAGAATATAAAATTCTTCCTCTCCGATTCTGGGTTTATCTCTACCAACAAACAAGAGACCAGGAGATAGAATATAAAATTCTTCCTCTCCGATTCTGGGTTTATCTCTACCAACAAACAAGAGACCAGGAGATAGAATATAAAATTCTTCCTCTCCGATTCTGGGTTTATCTCTACCAACAAACAAGAGACCAGGAGATAGAATATAAAATTCTTCCTCTCCAATTCTGGGTTTATCTCTACCAACAAACAAGAGACCAGGAGATAGAATATAAAATTCTTCCTCTCCGAGTATGGGTTTATCTCTACCAACAAACAAGAGATTGAGAAATGGAATATACAATTCTTTTTCTCTCCATTTCTGGGTTCATTTTCCTGTATAGGAAATATAACCTATTCTCATTCTAAAATCCATGTCGTTCGCACATGGGGGATGTTATCTCTATCCCTTATTAGAGATAAGCCTACATCTAACACATGTAGCCTACATATTCAATATGATAGTTTAAAGTCTAAAAGAGTTTAATTCTTTTAGCGCAACGTTATATGTGAAACGGACTTAGATAATTCACATACTAGCCCGATTCAAACGGTAATCGGTAAAGGCATATCAAATCCGTTGATGGCTGAGGATTTGCCAAAAATCCTATAAGTATTATGGTTATTTATTCTAAACAAGAATGAGTAATCGTAATAAAACCTCAATGAGCAAAAAGATTCAATATAATGAGCAAAAAAGTTCACTATGTTGACCAAGAATTTTCAAACAAAGTTACAAAAATGTATGTTCTCCAATTACAAAAGTTTATACTGACTAATATGATTTTCAAGTTTTGACAGCTCTAACGCATAAGCTTGTTCAAGCTCAGCTGTCAGTTTAACTTTGAAGGCTTCTTCATTAACGTTCTGAAGTTCAGCAACCTCTTGTTCTTTCTCAGCAAGTCTCTTATCCTGAATATTCAGTCGCTGATACAGGTTTTCTTCAATTTGAGTTGTCTTCGTCAACTCAGATTCTAAAACTTCACGAGCATCCTTGGCTTTTGCAAGTTGTTTCTCTAGACGGTCCATTTCAGCTCGATTCGACTCTAAATCCCGTTGTAGATCGATTTTAACCTGTAGTCTCTTGGCGATATGCACCCTGAGTTGATGACTGTGGGCTTTTAGTTTTTGAAGTTCAGAGTTAGCAGATTGCTGAGAATCACGCCACGCACGCAACTTGAAGTCCATATGAGAAGCGATGTAGGAGGGTACACCTTTAGTGCGAAGATCCTCCAGAAGTTCAACGTGTTGCCTCAGCTCGATTAAATATGCACCAATTGAATCGGCTAAGTCGTTGTATCCTTCATCTCGGATACCCGACATATAACGATCAAACGGTTTCTTAAAATTCTCAAAATATGAACCTTTTAAGAGAATACGATCGACCATAAAATTCCAAAAAGAGACGAAACCATGAAGATCAGAGCAAATGGCAATTTTTTCCAGATCCTCGTCAGATAATAACTCTTGAATGCGGGCTGATAATGAGGTAGAAGAAGCTGCAACAAGGGTAAATAAGTCAGTACAAGATATATGTGTGCGTACATAACAGCAATCTGAAGCATGTCAAGTTTAACAGAAGAACCTTCAGTATGACCCGGCGTGTCCACTGGGGGTAGTTTGGTCTCCTGAATAGTCAAAGCTGGCTCAGGAATAGTAACTTTTAATGCACCAACTATGTCAGAAGATTCTTTAATTTCAACCTCAGAAGATTCTGGGTGCAAACTAAGAGGCTCTTTAGGAGGAGATTCTACAAACAAAAGAGTTACAATGAGCATGGTGGAATGTTGATCGGGAATTCAAAAACAAATGATGAATAAAACTCACCAGCCCTGGGCACAACATCGGTTGACGTACCAACGTCTTCAGTTGGTCTCGCTTTTGTTGCGACCGGACTAATCTGGGGAGTGACGGTGATTTCTATCGTCATGGGGTCTATGGGAGTAGAAGGTTGAGATTCAGGAATAGATGATTGGAGATTAACTTCAGTTCCTACCCACGGCACGAGGTCACGACCCTCCGGGTGTTCAGATGTTCCAACGATTATAGTAGTATCAGTTCCAGCAACTGGTCCTATAATTCGAACGTTTATATGATTAGTCAAGTCAAAATATATACGTATATATATATGTGGAGTTCACAGAACCAAAGTCTTACTCTCAGAAGGACCGGCTTCCGTTGAACCAATTCCAACATCTGAGCCGATAGTTGCATCAGAGGCTTTCTCTAACAAAGAATCAAGGATTTGCTGATGGTCGTCCTCTGAGATATTAAAGTTGAAATTATGAAAATCATCGACTTTGGTGGCATGGGTGGCTTCTCCTTCAGTAGGTTCATGCATCGTGGCATCTACGGAAGGTGTTAAGCCATAAATAACATGTAAATTTAGACGAATCTACCCAAGACAAAGATCGATTTTACCTTCATTGGTCGGGGCGGATTCGAGAGCTCCACTACTTGTACCTGCTTCTTTTAATTTGACTAAAAGAAGAGAAAGTGCACAGGTCATTAGAGGAGGCACATGGTCCGACTCATTCATTTCTCGGATTTCTCTTCCGAGAGGGGAAAGATCAGTACCTGCGTCCGTAGCTGATGGATCAATGTCATGAGTTGATGGAACATCAGCTGGTCCTTCCTTCAGAGCATCCTGCATTTGTTGGACAAAGCTGGTCTCTTCAGTCTCCATACCACTAGAAGAAGCAGCTTCAACTCAATATTCTCCCTCTTCTTGACTCCCTATAGACGTTGACAATAGAATGAATCCGAGTGTTAACAAACGTGAGAGCAATAAAAACAAATTGTTACCTTGTTCTCCTGAAGAAGCGCTATGGACATATGTTTCCTCTAAAGCGGGGAGATGAACACGAGGTTTAGAAACAGCTTTCTTTTGTTTCTTTAGCGGATGTGTTTCAGAACCTTCATGACGACGCTTGGTGCGTAATTCAGTTCTGGGAGGAATCTGAGTTTGAGCTTGAGTGGAAGGTCGTGATCTTTGTCGACGAGCAAGAGGCACTTCATCCTCTTCATCCTCTTCGTACCCACTGAGAACGTCTACCGTCATCCGATTAGGATAGGTCATGACGACTCTCTCTCCCCGTTTTCTCGAAGTAGCTTGTGATTGAGTAGGAGCAGCAGATGGGCGCACAAGTCCCCTTTCAAAGAAAGAATCAGGAAGACCCGCTCTTTCATCAGAACTTGAGCTAGTCTCACCCGCCTCCTCGGAAGTCTCCGTCTCCTCAGAGTCAAATTCTTCTTCACTACCAACTGAGCGAGCCGGTTCTTTTCCCTTCCTCGATGATTCAGCAGCATCTTTCTTTTGGGGTGAAGTCATAACTTCACGTGCCGCTCTACTTGAGCGCCGCGGGGCTGTCTCTTCTTCTGGTTCTGACCTTCCCCCGTACTGGGTGACGATGTTGGCAGCGAGCAACCACTTGCAAAATAGAAAAGTCGTCCGCAGAGGTGGTGTTTCCAGAGGGAGATCGAACTCAGCACCTGTGCAGCCAGCAATACTCCAGAACCAAGCTCTCGCTCCGTCGATAAGTCCCCCGCGAAAGCTAAGATGACGATTCGGATTGCCGACATAAATTTGATCATAGCCGAATTGACGGGCAAATCGACATGGAAGATAGGGTTCAATATGACAAACGTCTTTTACCCTAAATAACAAATAGCCAGGTCGAATGTTTATCAACCATCTGAAGCACCCGACATCCAAGATGGTGCGATTCTGCCTTGGATCTTCGGCATCAAATAAAGTAGTGTTATAGGTACCGGAGAACCGAGGGAAGCAGGGGAAGAATTCCCAACACTTGTGAATCTTGAATTGCCTCGTTAGGCCCGGCTCTCGATGTTTGATCCATTTGCAAGCTTCAAAATTCTGCAACAGAGGAAGGTTGGGATCTATCACCCTAGGAGCTTCCATTAAATCTGGCCGGTGAAGTACTAACCAGGCCATTAGATAAGTATATGGCAGCTCCAGTTTCGGAACTGATAAGCTGGCGGAGGGTTTCTTTTTCTCCTGGGTAAACACAGAGATTAATTGCCGTAATCCACTGTGAATAGCAGCCACCATAGCGAGGAGCAAGGATAATTTGCGACCTGTAGCTATCTGAACGGCTGGATATAATACTTCCATTGGCATCGCATCAGAGGACTGGTAGGGAACTACGCACCTTTTTAGCCATATAGCCAGGAAACCAGCCAACAGAGCAGTAGGGCTAATCGGAACACCGGCTTGCCACAGATAAGAATGGAATTTAGTACCATACGGAAATCCGTCTTCTGAATGGGAAGTGTAAGTCTGTGCATTTGTTTTCTCCAACAGCCGGTTGATTTCACCCGGTTTCAAAGGAGATAATCCGCATACATCTGCTGAGCGATTGTCCAAGTTTTTAAACAGATAATCGGCGAACTGTTTTAAGCTAATTTGGGGAGATTTCTTTTTAGATTTGATCTCCATCTCAGCCATGGCTATGTGATAGTGGCAGGTCAATTCCCATAAAATGTCATGAGTCACCGCTGACCGATTCTTCATCTTGTTCAGCTGGTTGGTGGTCGGAAAGAACTCTTGATATGGAACATCGCCCATAGGCAAAGCAGACACCTGCATCATTTCATGCAGTGGTAGTCCGAGCTCCCCGTTCTTGGTAAAGAATGTATTAGTGTCCGGGTTGTAGATCTCGAACAAACAGAGGAAATGACCTACACTAATCTGCAGGCCATGCATGCTGGCACGAATCGGGACGTTTAACCCTAATTCTGCTAATTCTCGCCCAAAACGGTTCAGTACATATTGGGTCATTCTGGTCCACCACCACTTGTCTCCAAAATAATGTACCCATCCATAACATCTAAAAGTCTCTCTGGGTAATACTTTTCCCGCTGCTGCTAACCGGTTCTTCACGGTGTTGGCCTGCGCTGTCGTTTCATTTTGAGGTATATTGTCTTGACCTAAGACACCTGGATGAAGCCCTCGTATCGAAGCTCTTTCACTGGAACCTGGAGTGGCCTCCTTCCCAATGAAACCACAGTGGATGCGCTCGTGATTCTCAGTTAATCTCCAGAACATTTCGCGGTTAACGGATAAATTCCTGAACTGTAAGAGCGAGTGTTCTCGAGGAATCCAAGGCAAATATAGAAATGACGAGCCGCTCTCATGCAACCACTGTGCAGACTTGCAGAATGCAATCTTCGGATCCTTTACGGAGTCGCCAAATAAGAAATCCGGCTTCCTTATACATTGATTTGAGTCTTGTTCTGAAATCAAGGTTGCATCCGTGATTAACCGTCGTAGAACACGACAACTACCCCGCCGGATCAACTCTTTAGCCTCTTCACCATAGTCAGATTGGAACTGGGGAGATGATTCAATTAACGGAAGCCCCTCATAATAAGAATGGGTAATGTTACTCTGACCCGTAACCGCACCAGCAGGAAAGGCAGTGGAAGGAAATTGAACTGATAAAAGAAATACATATAAATCGTGTAAGGATGGTCCCAAAATTTTAGAGAAAGCGATATATCTTACTCTATAAGATATAATCACTATCTCGTAACAGGTGTGACGATTTTTTTTATATATATATACCACATGTGTAAAAGGAGATATGCGTTACTATGCACGGGCATTATAACGGCATACCAAAACCTTTCAACACATGTGGGATGATATAAAATTGCCCATGTGTGTTCTGAAGTGCGTTTTGTCCAAGCAAAACAAACACTTTTAAGCGTCGATCCCCTCAAAGGAGGATGCCGGCTCTTCTCGAGAGTATCTCAAAGGATACAAACGAGGATCTGCATACAAATATAGGTGCATATATATGAAATTGATGGAGTACAGTATTTAAATTCGAAAAAGAGTGAAAGAGATATACCTCCACACGAGATCACAGTAGGGGCAGCCTCCTCAGAGCTCTGAACAGTCGGACGGCTTCGGGTTCCTCGAGCTCTACGCGGCGACATGATGAGTAGATGATCTACATGGAAATCCAACGAAAATGGTTAGGGTTTTGAGCAAGAAATCGACCAAAACATCACAACATATGGTCAGAACAGTGCATGCACATTCACAGTTGAAGAAAATCAAAATTTGAAAGAAAAGAGGTGGACAAACCTGTAGAAATCCAAGTGGAATCTCCCCAAACAAAGCCCCACCCAAGTCGGCAACAAAGAGGAGAAGAAATAGGAAAAAACTGGTCGAAAATCACCCAAGAAATCGTCTGGAAATCGCAAAAATCCGACGTGAAAAAAGCCCTAAAACCCTAAGTTCGGGTTTTATACTCGTTAGCTCGCTCAGCGAGACAGAAAACTCTGTCTCGCTCAGCGAGACAGAACACACTGTCTCGCTCAGCGAGACAGAAAACACTATCTCGCTCAGCGAGACAGAAAACACTGTCTCGCCGAGCGAGACAGAAAACACTGTCTCGCTGAGCGATACAGCATATTCTGTCTCGCTGAACGAGACAATAAACCCTCTCTGTATCGCATTGCGATGCAGATGAATACTCCAACGGGTACACGAGTCTAAACTGTACTCCCACCCTCAATAGGAAGTTCCTGGAGAATATTAATCTGAATATTCTTAAGGATAACCTGATGAGCTCTCAATGGATATATCAATTCAGTGATAGAAGCTGAACCCACAAGAGCAAGTACCAACTTCAATTCAAGATTTCAACAACGGTCAAGCGATAAACGCGACGCCGGGAAGACATTAGCTATTCTACAAAGAATTGAATAGACTAAAAGCAACATAGATCAAGCATTGAAGCCATTCACAAGTCCTTTCACACGATCTACTCAACCAAGCATCGAAGGGATCGTAAGTAAAATCTATCTTATCCAAAGTATCCCATGCTCCTCTATAAAAGAATGAGTTTGGAATACTTTGGAGGGGGTATCTGTAGGCGTCAAAAAATGCTAATAGATATCCCAGACATAGAGAAAATCACTCAAAGGGACCTCATACTGCTTTAAGAAAATCAAAGCAGGTATGAACTGTCTCGCCAGCGAGACAGGCTTTGCTGTCTCGCCAGCGAGACAGTCTTTGCTGTCTTTTTCCGAGACAGCATTTACTGTCTCGCTGAGCGAGACAGCAAATTTACTGTCTCGCGGGTCGAGACAGCAAACACTGTCTCGCCCAGCGAGACAGTAAACACTGTCTCGCCGTACTAATTTCTGCAGTTGTTGAGTTTCTGCAGTTACAGACCCCTGAGGCTATAAATACCCCCCTAGGGTCATTTCTGACGAGGATCGAGCATTTGTTAGAGCATTCCAGAGCAGAGAGAGCAGAGATCTAAGTTCTTGGAGCAACCCCTTGACATTCAGGCTTTGACTTGATTTCAAGAAGAACGACTATCTTACTTCGATAAGATATCGTTTCAATTTCTAACTTCGATAACGAAGGAAGAATCAGTAAACCCCTCTTCACGATTTGTGATTCGGTGGTCCATGAGCTAACGCGCTCCCGGCACAGGCAAAGAACCCACGAAAGCAGTGATCTAAACAACGATCCTGCGTTTATTTTCTCAAGAGTTGTAATTTTCTTTTTGTTGTGTAAAAGAGTCTTATAAAAAAGGCTGTTTTCTTTGAATTTATTGTAATCGACTAAAGATATAATGAATTCGACAACAAATTCGACTTTTGGCGAAAACAAGGTCAATCCGAAACTCATATTCATCAGGGATAGTCTTCCACCAGATAAGAACGAAGAGTTGATTTCCCTCATTAGGGAATATATTGACGTCTTCGCTTAGAATTACGAGGACATGCTAGGACTTGATCCTAATGTTGTAATGCATCACCTCAACATCAAACTAGATGTCAAACATGTTAAACAACAACAGAGACGATTTCGTCCGCATGTCATGGAGGCGTTTAAGGGTGAAGTTAAGAAATTAATCGATTTAGACTTCATCAGGGAAGAAAAACAGCCCGAACGGCTAGCAAATATTATATTGATCCCTAAAAAGAATGGGAAAATCAGGATCTGCATTGACTTTAGAGATCTGAACACTGTTTGCCCAAAGGATAATTTTCCTCTTCCTTCCGATCATGGATGTCATCATCGACAACACATGAGGATTCGAAAGAATGTCCTTTATGGATGAATTTTTAGGTTATAATCAAATCAAGATGTACCCGGACGACGAAAAGCATATCGCATTCAGAACACCACTTGGCATCTTCTGTTACACAGTTATGCCCTTTGGCTCAAAGAACGCGGACACCACATATCAACGAGTAATGACGAAGATTTTCTAAGAACATCTATGGAAGACTGTCGAGTGCTATGTTGATGACTTGGTCGTGAAAAGTCACAGTAAAGACGACCATATTAAAGACCTGAGGACGATGTTCGATCTCATGCAGAATTACCAATTGAAGAAGAACCCTACTAAATCCTTCCTGGGAATGTCCAACGGCAAATTCCTTGAATTTGTCATCACCATAAAGGGTATCCATATTGATCCTGATAAAGTGAAAGCAATACACGAACTACAACCCCTAAAGAACCTCAAAGAACTTAGGGGATTACAAGGACGATTGGCTTATATCCGTCAGTTCATCTCGAACCTCTCTAGAAAATTCCAACCATTCTCCAAGCTTGCAAAGAAGGGTGTATCATTTGTTTGGGATGATGTTTGTCAGAAAGCATTTGAAGACGTCAAAGTATATCTGACGAATTCTCATGTTCTCATTGCACCAAAATTGGGTAATTTATTTACGTCAAAGCGACAAACCACTCATTAAGTGTTTTACTTGTACAAGATAATGACAACAGTCATGAACAGGTAGTGTACTATCTAAGTCGTACTTTGGTAATGGCTGAATATCAATATCCTATGATCGAAAATGAGTGCCTCGCTTTGGTGTTCGCTATCCAAAAATATGGCATTACCTGGTTGGACAGACGATCTATGTCATTTTCAATGTCAAACCAGTCCGGGTGTTCATGACTCAATTGGCTTCAATGAATTGAAGGTTAGAGAGATGGGTCATACTCCTATCCCATTATACCTACATTTTAAGCAACAGAAATCAGTGAAAGGGCAAGTAATTTGTGATCTTCTAGCATCTAACCCTGCAAAGGATACAGCCGAATTGTATGAAGATTTGTCGGATGAAACCCACAAAGTTAATACTACTTTGCATCAACAAGTTTGGCAGCTATATTGTGATGGGGCTTCACAAGCAACCAATATGGTGAGCACACCCGGATGTTAAAATATCTTCGGGAGTCGGAGTCGTCTTAGTTTCTCTAGAGAAACACGTATTGCCTCGAGCCAATTCACTTACTTAGTCATGCTCCAATAATGTAGCCGAATACAATGCACTGCTCATTAGACTTAGTTTCGCCAAAGAGGTAGGGGTCGAATATCTCAAAGCTTTTGGTGACTCTCAACTGATAGTCAATCAGGTTCGAGGAGAGTACGAAGTCAGAAACCAAGACTTGATCCTGTACTACTAGACGACTATCGAAATGGAAAACTCATTTGAAGAATTCTTCATCGAGTACATTCTGCGTCTCCAGAATGCATATGCAGATGCACTAGCAGCATTAGCGGTATCTTTGACACAGCCACTCGAGACAGAACAACTGGTTACGATAAGAACTCACCAACTTTTTATATCAGATTGTGCTTTAGACATCAAAGAAGTGCACTCGACCAGAATCAAACTCGAGCCTCGAGATTAGTGATTCCCCATTATTGATTATGTCTTGCACGATATTTTATCGAAAGATAAAAAGGAAAGGGACTCAGTCCGATGAAGAGCACCGAGATTCTATTATAACACAGCGACTCAAACATTGTATCGTCGTGCATATGACGGTCTGCTACTCTGGTGTCTTTCAACCAAAGAGGCAGAAGAGGTACTCTAAGAAAAGCACGATGGAACATGTGGTGCACACCAACCCAGTCCTAAACTATGTGATTGACTCAGAAGAATAGGATATCACTAGCTAATCATGGTCAAGAACGTAGTTGACTATGCCTAACGGTGTCACGCGTGTCAAATACATGCAAATTATATGCACCAGCCTCCGGAACATTTGCACCCTTCGGCTATATCATGACCGTTTGAGACATGAGGAATGGATGTCATTGGTCCTATTTTTCCTCTATTAGCCAAAGGTGACTGCTTTATTTTAGCAATCAACGACTATTTCTCCAAGTGGGCTAAAGCAATTTTGCTTAAAGAAGTAAAGACAAGCGATGTCATTAAATTCATCAAACACCATGTTATCTATCGGTATGATGTTCCAAGATGAATTGTACATGACAACAACCCTCAGTTTGTTAGTAACGCCTTCATCAACTTCCACTAGTAGAAAAACGAGCAATCTAAACGGAAATTTCCGTCTAGATTGCTCCATTTCCCGTCTAGATTGGTTCACCTAGACGAAATTCCGTCTAGTTTGCTCCGTCTAGAATATTTCCGTCTAGATTGGGGCAAACTAGACGGAATTTCGTCTAGTTTGCCAACCTAGACGGAAAACAACCTAGACGGAAGTAAGAAATCCGTCTAGGTTGATACCTAGACGGAAATCCATCTAGGTTGGCAAACCAGACAGAATTCCGTCTAGTTTGACAACCTAGACGGAATTCCGTCTAGGTTGCTCTGCTACAGTAGTTTTTTTTTTTTTTTTGCAAAATCTACGTTGCACGCTATATAATATAACATGTTCATAATATTGCACAACAACAAATCATATCCAACACAATCTATCTAATTATATTTCAATATCAAATATAATTATATTCAAAAATTACATTCACCAAAATACTAGAAAGATACATAAATTTTTTACATAGATTATAAAGAATACAATTGTTTACATAACTTGATGAACTTTGCATAATTTATAGAATCCAATTGCATTTATTTTTCCAAATTATTGAAGCATCATGTTTCTTCCTCCTTGATCCTACATTATACAAAATTCAACATCAATTAGTCCATGCCATGAAATACACTTAGAAAGCATTAACTTTGCAGAAGAACTAATAGGGAAATCAAAATATAACCCAAGGCTATATCAAGAGCATGCATTATTGATGCACAATGAGATGTCATTACCTATCCATGCTTAATCAAATTACAGAACTGCAATTCTTACGTCAAATATAGGCCCAATATGACTACATAAACATACAAATTGGTGCAAAATGGAAGTTTTCAAATGAGAAAAAGCAAGACCAAGAAAAATTAGAATGAAAGAGATTAGTACCCAATTCCTTTGTTTCCTCCAGTGACGAAAGCAGTTGTTCCACAAAGTGAGCAACTCTTCTTGTTTTCACACACCTTGTTCCCTCCATGCACATCTCCTATTTCCTTCAGTAATATCTGAAGCTGCAATAGATGTTTGTTTCCATTAAGTTAACCAACTGAATTCTAATTAATCATAATTCAAGAAATATTATCTGTCATATAAAATCAAAGTATCCATACAAAGCGTAAAACTACAGCCCCAGTGAGAAAGGTTAGGACAAATACCTGAGCATTAATCCCCTGCTCATTCACATATATGCGACCATGTATATCACACTCCTGACAAAAGTTAGAGGATCCGTTAACAAATCATAATGAATCCAGTATCATGGCAAAGAAGCAAAAAGGACCCTAATTTTGCTACAGAAGGTAAAGAATGAACTCTCGATATCCTCCAAAGACGAGAAATAGAGAATTTGGCAAGGTGATTATAAATAGACACAATATACAAAACACTTATTAACCACGATACAGTTCCGAAATCCGACTACCATGTTCTTAATAAGCTTAATACAATATCCTACAATTTTAGCTAATTGTGCCATGAATGCTTAAGTAACATCTTACAATCTTGAGCCAATTATCTCATGAATGTTTAAGAAACATCAAACAAGCGCCTTTCATATTGCTTCAATACCACCATGCCAACTAACTAGTTCTCCGTCGTCTTAAGTTACTTATAGTTCTGCCTTTTTTATATAAATTATCATATTTACATAAAAGAAGAAAGAATGAAATAACATAATAAAACTCTTAGCACTTTCTCTAACTTAGAATTTTCACACATTTGCTAATCTCAATAACATACATGCCCTCGTCACTTCAGTTATCCTTTTGAACTCCTCATTCACCTCCAACTCTTGTTACTTGGCAATATCATATTAAGGTTCTCCAACTATTTCTTTTCAATGCCATTGAAAATTCATGATGGGTGCATTAAAAAAATCGGACTTTTCGGAAATTTTCATTTCAATACACAAGCATGGGTAAATACAGTACTAATAAATTTGCCCACTCCACAGAATAATTTTTTTTGGAAATTAGGGGTGAAAAAAGACTTACCTCAAGAAAAGCTTGATGTTTTGAGACCACGGCTTCTGGAGAATTCCTCCAGCTCTTCAATAGCTTCTCCTTCAACTCGATGTACTCGAGGACAGCATTCTATTATCCTACTCCGCCTCTTCTCCCACTTTAAGGACAGAACCAAAGAGAAGTTTTTAGGGGCAAAAAAGGCACCTTTTTTATTTTGGCGGCGGATGCTGATAGGTTGATCTCTGAACGGGACGGCTGGGGGTGATCGATGATGTGGCGTAGTGGAGGACGGTGGATGTGAGGCCATCGGAGTTGGGTCCGGTCACCGCTGGTAAGAACGAGGATAGGAGGGAGCGGTCGCCGCCTCGGAGGAAGGCGGAGATGAGGAGGGAGCCGGCAAAGGGGCTTCTCCGTGATCGGAGATCTCATCGTCGGCGAGTTTTTGGCGATTAGAATGGCGAGTGAGGAATGGGGAAAGGTCTTTAGGGGATGAGAGAGAGAGAGAGAGAGAGAGAGAGAGAGATTTGGGGATTTGACCATTTTGGGGTTTTTAGATGGAGAGGGGAATATAAAGAGGCGGGGGATGAAAAAAATAAGCGGGAAATGAAAAAAAATAGGGGGAGGTCCATAAATTTTTTAGGCAACCTAGACGGAAATTCCGTCTAGGTTACGTCAACCTAGACGGAATTTCCGTCTAGGCTGAGTATTATTTTAAAAAAATAAAAAAACCGTCTAGTTTGTCAATCTAGACGGAAATTTCCGTCTAGATTGATTCAAACTAGACGGAACAAACTAGACGGAGTTTTTTCCGTCTAGTTTGACTCAAACTAGACGGAAAAAAATTCCGTCTAGTTTGTTCCGTCTAGTTTGTTCATTTTTCTACTAGTGTTCTGTGAAAAATTCAGAATTCAAGATGTTTCGTCGACGGCATATAATCCCATCGTGAATGGATTGGCTGAAGCCTTCAACAAGACCATCATAAAAAAAATTTCAAAGCTTGTGAGAACTAATAAGCGAGACTAGGATGACAAACTTGGTGAAGCTCTTTGGGCCTAACGTACCACCGTCTGCACGCCTACTGGAGAAACTCCATATTCCCTAGTATATGAGTGTGAATCCGTCCTCCTATTAGAAATCCAAATTCCTTCCCTCCGCATCCCCCTCACAATGGGCATGATGATGGAAGAACAACATCAGAAACAACTCAAAGAACTCGAGATGTTAGACAAAAGGTGCTTAGAAGCTCAACAACAAATTGAGTTCTACTAAGCTAGGATTTCCAGGGCCTTTGACAAGAAAGTCGACAATGAAGTTTCAAGGAAGAAGATTTGGTTCTTGTTGTTCGGTGACCAATGGTACTCAATTCCAAGAAGAAAGACAAATTTCAACCCAAATGGGAAGGACCGTTTGTAATAGAGATAGTCTATTCAAACGGTGCATATCGCCTGATCACCTAAGATGGCAACAAGCTCATGATACTAATAAATGAGAATTTTCTGAAGAAGTAATACCCTAGTACGTTCGAGATAACCTACTTAAATGGGAAGTTCCTAGAGAATACTATACAGGGGATTTTTAAGGATAACCCGAGATCTGTCAATTATTCCAAATAGAAACTAATCATTTGAATAACTTATTCTTAATAATTAAGAACCTCCCATTGTGACGATTTAATTATTTTCAAGATGATTAAAATCCTCTCATTGCAACTTTCCAAACACTCTTTTGTTGAGATGAGATTCAACGACTGCATATAGTCAATTTTTACTCACGAAACTCCCAGGATGCAATTGTGAAGTACTTAATGATTCATGGTCCTCCACCACAAAATCCCTCACTGATCAAATTAAGTGATGGTGGGTCTATCAAAATTCCTCATGGTTAAATCCATTCAAACTCCCACTGTGTTTAAGCCTTTAACACTCCCACTATTGAAGTCCTGACATGACTTTTCAATCTACTAATCCATGGTAATCAGTAAACTCCCTTCATGTCAATATCTTATCACTTGATACCGAAAACCCCCAGTGAGTGTTTTGTACAAATTGACATTATCATTGTTATTTGTGTCCTCCAATCTCATTGTTTTTTAGTCAAACATTTCTACAGTTAGGGCCAAAGACAAAATCCCTTCTCGGTTCCTTCCATGAATGAGAGGTCCACTAAAAAAACCATTCTCTTTTGATAAATGAAAGACTTCCACCCAAATCGAGTGATCAAATCTTTAAACAGTTAAGATCATCTCAAATCCCCATTTGGTCGAACCTTTGAATAGTTAGGACTAATGCTAAAATCTTCTCTCGATTCCGTCAATGAACGAGAGATCCACTTTCAAAACCGAGATCATCTTTTGATAAATAAAAGACCTCTACCCAATTAGAACAATCAAGCCTATAAAAGGTAGAATTGTCTCAACTCCTACTTAGTTAAACTTTCCTACAGTTAGGACCAAAGTCAGAATTCCCTCTCGATTCCTTCCACAAAAAAGAGATCCATTTTCAGGACCGGAATTCCCTTTCGATAAAAGAAAGGCTTCCATTCATTCCTCTTTAGCCAAACATCCACAGCTTTGGTTGAAGTCAAAATTTTATCTCGATGAACGAGAAATTCATCTTCAGACCGGGTAACCAATACTATAAAAGTTAGAGTTATCCGAATCTTTTCGATTCTCAAAGTGGAGATTCCACTCTTAGTTTCACCTTTCAGGATTCTCAAAGTGGAGATCCCACTTTGAGTTTCCCATGAGACCAGGAGATAGATATAAAATTCTTCCTCTCTAGCATCGGGTTCATCTCTATCAACAAAAAAAGATCAGGAGATAGAATATAAAACTCTTTCTCTCTAGCATCGGTTCGTCTTTGTCCCAAGAGAATACACAATTTCTCAACACCAAAGTCCATGCCTTTTATGCATGGAGGATGTTATCTCGATCCCTTATTAGAGATAAGTCTGCGTCTAACACACGCTACTGGGTAGTACGTTCCCGTATAAACGATAAAGCCTACATATTCAATATTATAGCCGGTGGTTATTATTAAATTAATAATCTCTGAATCTATGTTTTTTATGCATGGGGGATGTTATCTCAATCCCTTTATTAGAGATAAGCCTATATCTAATACATGCAGCCTACATATTTAAAGTTGTAGTATACAGTCTAAAAGAGTTTAATTCTTTTAGCATAACGTTATATATGAAACGAACTAAGACAATTCACATACTAGTCCGACTCAAATGGTAGTCAGTAAAGGCATATCAAATCTATTGATGGCTGAGGGTTTACCAAAAATCCTGTGAGTATTATGTTTATTTATTCCAAACAATAATGAGTAATCATAATAAGACTTCAAATGAGCAAAAAAAGTTTATTTTATTCATGAAAAGAACTTGAAAAAGTACAAAAGAAGTTCTGATACAAGAAAAATGTTTCTAAGCCAAAGACAGTTTATAATTGCGGATATGTTTTGCCACTCTGGAAAGCTCTTCCGCATCAGCCTATTCAAACTCAGCTGTCAGTTTAGCCTTTAAAGAATTCTCGCTAGTATTCTGATCCTTGAGGATTTCTTATTCTGTGTCAGTAAGCTTTTTGTCTTGGAGCTCCAGCTGTTTGAATAAGTCTGTTTCAACATGTTCTACTTCAGCTAAATCAAGCTCTAAAAAGCCCTCATCATCCTTAACCTCTGCAAGTGCCTTTTCTAAGCGAGCTATCTCGACTCGACGTGATTCTTAGGATTGGAGCAAATCAGCCTTGGCTTTCACCTTCTTGGCGATGCTCAATCTTATTTGGGTCACACGGTTCCTTAATCGTTAAAGTTCAAGTTCAGTTGATTTTTGCGAATCATGCTATGCTCGCAGTCTTAGGTCGATCTTAGCCGCAACATAAGAAGAGACACCGATGATCTGAAGATCCTTCAAGTGTTCAATTTGTTGTTTCAGCTGAACCAGATAGGCTTCAATTAGATTAGCCAACTCGGGGTATCTATCTTGTCTAATTCCCAACACATGTCAATCGAGTGACTTCCTAAAACTGTCAAAGGATGACCCTTGATGAAGAATTCGATTGATCATGAGGTTTAGGAAATAGAAAAAATTTTGAACATCTGAACAGATAAAAGCCTTGTCCCAATCCTTATCAGACATTAAAGCTTTGATGGACTCAAGTAATGATGAAGGAGGCACTTCAATAAAAGCAAAGAAAATAAGTACTCGAAAGAATAGTTGAATTAATACTCAAGACTTAGAATCCAAAAGTAGTGGTGAACGGAAATATACCAAGTCTAACAAAAGAGCCTTCAGTGTGGCTTTCTTGCCCTAATGATATCAATCCAACTTCTTGAGCAATTGGGGCTTTCTCAGGAATAGCAACCGTTGACATACCCGCTACATTAGTTAACTGGGTAGTCAGGACCTCTGTCAGCTTCGGATCAGAATCTATGAAACTCTTGGGTGGAAGGGATGGAGATTCTGCAAGCAAGAGAGAAACACAATGGGTATTCTGGAATATTAATCAGAGGTTTAAAGCAAGCAATTGATAAAACTCACCAACTCTTGGTGAGGCTTCGTCGGTTTGATGTTCTATACTTGTTCCCACCCTTTCAACCTCACGAACGAATGGAGGTGTTCCAGATACAATAACTGTTGATGTACCAACTTCTTCAGTTGGTCTCACGATTATTGCAACAGGATTAACCTTGGTGGTGGTAATAAATTCTATCATCATCGGGTCTAAAGGGGTGGGAGGTTGAGACTCAGGAACTAACGATTGAGCCTCAACCTTGGTTCCTACCAACAACAGGACACCAAGACCCTTAGGTTGATCAGACATCCTGATAATGGTAGTCACATCGATTTTAGCAATTGGTCCTACGATTAAAAAAACTCTCATATAATTATTTAAAGTTAATCAATAAAGAGACGATTGAGATTACAGAATAAAATCCATACCTGCAGAAGAACCGGCTTCAATTGAACCAACTCTACCAGTTGGACCTGTAGCTACACCAGGAGTTTTCCCTTATAATAAATCGAAGATATACTGGTGGTCATCTTCTGAAAGGTCGAGATTGAGTTTGTGTTCATTGAAATCCTCAACCTCAGCAGCATGAGTGGTCTCCCCTTCCGCTGGTTTATTCATCGTGACATCTGCAGAATAGGCTAAATTATGAACACAATCGAAGATATACTGGTGGTCATCTTCTGAAAGGTCGAGATTGAGTTTGTGTTCATTGAAATCCTCAACCTCAGCAGCATGAGTGGTCTCCCCTTCCGCTGGTTTATTCATCGTGACATCTGCAGAATAGGCTAAATTATGAACACATATGTTCATTGAAATCCTCAACCTCAGCAGCATGAGTGGTCTCCCCTTCCGCTGGTTTATTCATCGTGACATCTGCAGAATA